GAAGCAGTAGGCTGAAAAGGACGTGGTGGGTCAGAAGGTCTCCAAGGAACCCAAAAAACCCATTTGTAGAGAAGTGCTTCAGCCAAAGTGTGCTTTGTGCTGGCTGCGCGTACCTGAACAGCCAGGCGTTAGGAAAGAATGGGGAGAGAAGGGAGGAAATGTGCTAAGGAAGTGCTAAGGTTGGTCAATGCTTTGTAGTATTTAACATTTTAAAATTTGTCAAATGGAATTATCTTCCAGCAAAATATATGGGAAGGCTGTGAGAACTGGGTTGGAAGAGTATACTGTAAGGAGCTCCTGCATTTGCAAAGCAGATGAAGCCAGACCTTCATAGAGCTCAAATATGCTTCATAGTCTCTAATATACTAAATCCATAGATACAGCCACATTCTATGTAGCTGAATGTATATACATACATTTATATATATATGAATGCTGCTGTTTTTCAGCATATCTTCATGGTTTTATTGCAGCTTGCTCCAGGCTTGCCTTAAGGGTTAGGCTGGGAACGAGGAAGAACTCCTCTAAAGAGCAGTTGGGCACTGGCACAGTTTCCCAGGGGGCTTGGTGGGGTGGGGTTGGGTTGGGGATCCTAAAGGTCTTCTCCAACCTGAATGGTTCTGTGATTCCATGGGCACATTTCCTGTGCTCGGGTGGCAATGAGGGCTGGTTTTGGTGGGCATAAATTGGGCTGCTGGTAAGAATCCCCTTCCTTGGGGTGCAAGGAGGTGCTCTTGGAGGGCTCATTATTCCCTCTTCTGGAACATTTTATTTTCTTAAGATCAACTGGCTTGCGTGCAAGCACTAGAAATAGCAGGGCTTGCTTTTAATCAAAACTGAGTAGTGAGGGATGGAAATGTATTGAGGTTCTGACATCCCAGGGACTGCAGTGGGAGCTGCGCGTTTCTGAAATACATCTGAGATGTGAGGAAAATGTATTTTAAATCACACGGTTTTGAAGCACAGCAAAGCTTTCTTTGGCATTTCCTAGGTGCAAAGGCAGAAAGAAAGGAAGGATTTATGTTCCATACATCCAAAACTACAAACGTTTTGAAAGCCCTGAGGTTAGGAGTAAGGAATGAGTGAACAAAGCACGTATTGTCTGTCCCAATTTTGCACTACAAGGGAAAGAGAAGCCTTGCCATGTGAGCCCTTCCTTCAGTGCTGATGGTCATTAATGACAAAGTCAGGAAGGAAATGCATGGAGGCAGCTGAAGTATATGCAACCTTACCAACAGACCGTGCAGGGTAAGGCCTCACCCGCCTCCTCCTTGCCTGTTTCCAGTTGCCCACTTCTATTTTTGCCAGCACAACAGGCAGAAATTCTGCCCTGTGCCAGTATTTCACATCAGACTCATCCCCTCACCTGGTCTGCTCGGGCATCCCTCATTCCTGCCCCTCCACAACAGCTTGGGGCCATTTCTTGGATCAGCCCAGCAAAGACAGCTTGGATATCGATGTAACTGCTGCAGGTGTTTCGCTTTGCTGTGAGCGAATGAGGGAGCAGTGGTTTATGAATTCTGCATGCAGACATCCCTGGGGATGGCTTCCATTGCCACTGATTCCATTTTGCATCCTGGTGCTCCATGCTAACACCTGCCTCAGTAACACATCTCCCTTGGTCTTGCAGGTGAGCTCATTTCAATAGCATCCTTCTGAGCATCTCTCTGGAAAAGCTCTGCCTCAGCATACCCAGCTTTATTCTTACGTTTTGCCTGGAGATGGGGTAAATGAGCTTTTGTTTTATTCCCCACAGTGTTTGCAGTGCTGCCCACATCCCAGCAGAGTTGCACAGTGAGCTCCTCAGGGTCGAGAGGGTCGCAAAGCTCCTGGCACCCAAAGCCAGCAGGAAGCCCTCCACAAAGACACACTTTTCTCTATTTATTCCTTTTTTCTTCCTTCCTTTCAGCTCTTCCAAGAAGCCCGGCCACATCCAGCATCACTCGCTGCTCTCCCAGGTGCCAGGAGCAGATCCAACTTTCGTCTCTGCTCCGTTATTTAAGATGTGATGGGAAAGGACTCGTTTGCAGACCTGTCTGTGCTGACATTTCAAGCAGAGATAATTGGGTGTATTTTTAGCTGCCCACGTTCCGGAGCACTAAGTGCACATTTTTGTGAGGTGTGAGTTTATTTAGGGAAGAATTCATGGCTTGAGACTTCAAATAAGAAGCTCATAAAAGCATACAAATGACCCCAGGTCGGCTCTCTGGCACTGTAGCTTTGAAAATACATTTCTAAGGGAAGCAGGAGTGCTCTAAGAGCAGACACTTCTTTCTGGTTTTGTAGCTCCTGTGAATCTTTTTCTTCCATGAAATGTCAGCACTGCGCTGTGCAGACTTCAGGCTTGGTGCTGCCCCTGGGAGGACATGGCAGGAGCTGAGTGCCTGTGGTTGGCAAACAGAAAATGAGCTGCTGGTGCAGCACTGGTGCATACTGAGCAGGTAGAGGACACAGATCCATACAGATCGAACCAAAAGTTCACCTTTTCATGACCCCATATGCTGTGTCAGCTGTGCTGCAGGCTGGAGGGCTTTTCCAGCCTTAATGACTGTGATTCTATGGCACAGGTGAGGACACTGCTCTGGCCGGTGGTGAACTGGGAGCAGATCCCAGAGCTGCACCACCTACACTGGGTGCTGGGCCCAGCCCTGGCGGTGGGATGGGATGGGTGCTGTGCCCACAGCTGGGTGCTGTGCTGGCTCCAGGTAGGGCTGGGCCCCCCTCACTCCCTGTGCAATGCTCCCCAGCCCTGCTGCAGTGATTTATGGCTGTGATTTACGCTCGTTTTATTGGAAAATGTGAGTTTGCTAATAGCACCGATGGGAAATGTAAAGATCATTTGAATGCCTGTCTTCAGCTAACAGCCATTTATTGTCTGTAGAAAAGGATGTTTGCTGCATTTCTGCTGTAACTGTTTATCTGAAATGAAGATTGATTTCGTTTTCTGAGCACACCGCTGGACTTCTGTAATTGGCTGCCTCTACCATGCTTAGCTTGTGTGCACTATGGGTCAGTGCTGTGCCCTTTGCGTTACTGAACTGCATTTCACAGAATCACAGAATGGCCTGGGTTGCAAAGGAGCACAATGCTCACCCAGTTCCAACCCCCTGCTGTGTGCAGGTCACCAACCAGCAGCCCAGGCTGCCCAGAGCCACATCCAGCCTGGCCTTGAATGCCTGCAGGGATGGGGCATCCACAGCCTCCTTGGGCAACCTGTGCCAGTGCCTCACCGCCCTGTGTGTGAAAACTTCCTCCTAATATCCAACCTAAACATCCTCTGTCTCAGTTTAAAACCATTCCCCCTTGTCCTATCACTATTCAAATCCATCTGGTCCTGAAAGCAAACAAGCAACAAATGCAGACAGAATCAGAAATGGAGCCGTGCTGCCTGCTGGTTCCACGCAGCTCAGGGCTGATGTGCCACATCTGTGACGTGCTGGCACAGCTCCTCACTTCCATTCACAACACGTTAAGCCACGGGAGAGCAAAGGGACAACAGGTTGGGGCAGAAATGTAAATGATAGGGCACACAGTCGGGAGAGATTTTCAAGAAGGGAAGCCGTAGAGCTGGTTTGAACTTTGGGATGTCTCTCTCAGCTTTGCGCTTCCTTAGCTGCCTTTATCCCCTGATTTGAGCTTGTATTTGCTTATGAACCAATCTGATGATTCACGGTGGAATTTTCTGTTCTGCAACCTAAGAACATTTAGGAACTCGATTTGAATTTGAATTGGAAACCCCCACATGGGTTTCCTGAGTGGCTTTGCATCCCAATGAGTGTTTGCTTCTGCTGCCAGCATCACTGTTTGTATCTGCAGCCCACCTAATTGCTGAGAAATAATCCGTTTGTGGTTTGGATGGGAAAAGGGTTCTGGGCTTTTCCTAATGGCATCACTGCTGGGATCTGGGCTCGGTTGGGAAGCTGTGTATGGCACCGTGTGGTGCAGAGGGAATGAGAGCTCGAGGCAGTTCCATGGTGCCTTGACCTTCTCCTACAGTTGCAGTGGCACTGTGGAGCTCCTGGCGGCACCAAGCAGGGCCGTGGATCCTAGGGCAGCCTGCTCGCCTCCAGCAGCACTCCTATGCGGAAGGACATTGCTGAGCATCTGTCATTCTCTTCCCCACTCACATTGTTTCCTTACCTCATCGCATGCGACAGGAGACAGATGTTCTCAGTCTGCGAGTCTCTCCAGGAGCAAGAAGAATTGGGGGAATTGAAATGCAGCAATTAGGAGAAAATAAGTCCCTTTGCACTGGCGTGGCTCCTGCAGCCGCAGCGTTGGGGTTAATGATGTAACCAGCGATAGGACGGGAGGTGACCGCCTCACCTTGTGCCGGGGAGGGTAGGGCAGGGTTTAGGAGGCAGTTCTCCAACGAGCAGTCAGACGCTGGGAAGGGGAAGGGAAGGGGAAGTGAAGGGGAAATGAAGTTTGCGTAAGCTGTCGTAAAGCTCTAATGAAATCCCCGAAATGTCCCCCGCACCCAGACGTGATTGGAAATGTGACTGGAAGTTCTATTTTTGCTCCCTGTTTGAAAACGTGCGATGTGTGGTGGTGCGATGTTCCTTCTGACTCGTCCCCCCCGCAGTGCGCTCCGGGTACCGCCTCTGCCCCCGGGCTCGGGCACGGAGAGAAGGTCAGCGCGGCCACCGCACATCGGGGCTCTCCCGGCCGCATCGCTCAGCGTGCCTTATTGCCGGCAGCTCGAGCGCACAGCGGCTGCGAGCTCCCCATCCCTCCCGCTAGCTTTGCACCTTTCGGTGCCCTGCGCGTCCCGGAGCGCAACCCGGGGCTCCGCGGGGCACTGCGGAGGAGGAGGCGGAGAGGATGCTCTGATGGGCGGTGCTGGGAGAGGCGGTACCCGCACTGCCCGGGGCCGCCCCGCACCGCCTCTGCCGGCGGCTCCGCGTGGGTGGCGGCCGCGCAAAGCGGTGCCTCCGCGCCCGCAGAGCGGCGGCGCCGGGGCGCGGTGCGGTGCGGTGCCGCGCGGAGCGGAGCGGAGCATGTCGGCGCTGAGGAGGAAGCTGGGCGATGAGTACCAGGTGGTGAGCACCTCGGCCAGCGGAGGGGGGCTGCCTCCGCCCCGGGCGGCCCCGCGGGGGAAGCGGCAGCGCTTCGTGGATAAGAACGGACGGTGCAACGTGCAGCACGGGAACCTGGGCGGTGAGACCAGCCGGTACCTGTCCGACCTTTTCACCACGCTGGTGGACCTCAAGTGGCGCTGGAACCTCTTCATCTTCGTTCTCACGTACACCGTGGCCTGGCTCTTCATGGCCTCCATGTGGTGGGTGATCGCCTACATGCGGGGCGACCTGAACAAGGCTCACGACGACAGCTACACTCCCTGCGTGGCCAACGTCTACAACTTCCCCTCCGCCTTCCTCTTCTTCATCGAGACCGAGGCCACCATCGGCTACGGCTACCGCTACATCACGGACAAATGCCCCGAGGGCATCATCCTCTTCCTCTTCCAGTCCATCCTGGGCTCCATCGTGGACGCCTTCCTCATCGGCTGCATGTTCATCAAGATGTCCCAGCCCAAGAAGAGGGCTGAGACCCTGATGTTCAGCGAGCACGCGGCCATCTCCATGCGGGACGGCAAGCTCACCCTCATGTTCCGCGTGGGGAACCTCCGCAACAGCCATATGGTCTCGGCGCAGATCCGCTGCAAGCTGCTCAAGGTAAGGCACTGCCGTAGAGTAGAGCCACAGGACGGGGTGGGCTGGAAGGAACCTCAGACATCATAGGATCACAGAATGGTTGGCTTGGAAGGGACCTCGCAGCCCCGGCCCCAGCACTGCCATGGGCTGGCTGCCCCCCAGCTCAGGCTGCCCAGCGCCCATCCACGGCCTTGGGTACCTCCAGGGATGGGGCACCACAGCTCTGGGCAGTGCCAGGGCCTCACCACCTCTGGGTGAAGGATTTCTTCCTGAGGCACCATCCCCTTATGATAATGTTTACATTCCACACTGTTTCGCATGTAAATACCTACGGGTACTAGATTCTTTCTCTGAGAGGTAACGGCTTCTTAGCTGGAATTGCTTGGTGTGTATTTTCAAAGGGACCTGTTTGCCTTTCTGACACATTTCTGTGCTCTTGGAGGCACCAGCTAGAGAGAACTTCATTTCTGTGGTGCATGAACTCCACAGACAGCTGAATGTCAGGGTTAGATGTGCAAAAGCCATGCTAATAGCCCTGCACATCTGAGGAAAAATAAGCGTGAGACATTAACAAGGAAAACTGAATATCTATTTGAGACTCATTATTACGGTTTTATATATAGATGAGCTGAAATAAACGTGCAGTGGGTGGAAGGGGATGGCTCAGGTGATGTTTGGCACACACAGAGCATCCTGCACATTTCCCAGCTGTGGGGGACGTGGTGCTGGGTGTTCTGGGGGCCCCGCTCTGAGGCAGCCCCCTCTGCCTGTGAGGGATGCTCTCGTTCCATCTGCTGCAACCGGTCCCAGCGATACGCAGCTGCCTTTTGCTTGGAGGCATCAGAAGGTGCAGAGCTTTCACCCCAGTGGGTATTGCTGGTGGGGTTCCGTGGGCAGCATTGCTTGCACCAAGCAGGGCCCCCACTGCATCCCAAATAACAGGGCTGGGGTGGTGCTGGGGATGCTCTGAGCGGATACATCCAGTCTTGGTCCTTTCTTTCTGAGCAGTCGGCTGGGGCTGGGGCTCTCTTGTGCTGATGTGAGTGAGCCCCAGTCATTGGCTCATGTCGGAAGTTGGGTGATGGCACAGTGTGCACTGAGCCCCAGGAGCAGCCCCGATTCTTAGAGCGCACTGCGGTGACCACCATGCCCTGCACGTGGAATAAGCTGTGTCCATATGGCTTTGGAGAGGCTGAGAGGGTCCTTTCTGTCACAGATGCAAAAAAAAAAACCAACAAAATAGCTCTGTTTATGTCCGAATGGAACAATTCCAATGGAATTTTGTAAGTTGGTGCTTACAGCTTGGTGTGGCTCCATGCAATCTGTGCAACTTTGGAGCTGCCTCCACAGAAGTCCTGCTCTGTGATAATGCTGGAAGGACCCGAGAGCAGAAGGCTTTGCTGCTGTTTTTTGTTTCTTTGTTTGTTCGTTTTTCTTCTGAAAGTGAAAGGTGCCACAGTGGCTTTTCAGACAAAGTGGTGCTGTTGCCCGGGGACAGGAACTGTGCTGTGAAAGTGCTCCTCTGGGAGTCCTGTCCGTGGGCACCGCAGTGCGCTCAGTGGAGAGCAGTGCAGAGCGGTGCCTGCTTGCTGCTGCCCTGCTGCTTCCCAGGTTGTCCTGCTGGGAGATGCTATGGACAGTTGGAAAGCCTGAGAATTGCTTGGCTGTTATTTTTTTCCTCCCTGCTAAGAAGATGATGTGGGGAAACAAGCAAGCTGTAATGGAAATGCTAGCACAGAATCACTGCAAAGCCTCGCTCGTGGCGGAGCTCCTTTTGCAGAATGGATCTCTGTGGTTGTGAAGAGCTGAGGGGAATGCTGGCAGTGCTGTGCTTTGGTGCCCATGTGACGCTGGGTCAGAACAGTCCCCCAAGGTCTTTTTTCTCCACAAGTGTATTGAGCAGAACAGCAAAATGGTGTGTGATGGGGGTGGTTATGCCCTGAGCTCAGTCCTGCCTGGCGCTCCCGAGCAGCTGTGACGGTGCCTGGGATGGGTTTCCTGAGGCCCCGGAGGAGCTGCAGTAGGGGCACAGCAATTTGCCCGTTTTTAACCTTTTCCCCATCATTTTCTTCCTCTGTCAGCACATCAAATTGGATACATTTCCTTTTCCAGTGTCCTTAAAGTACCGCATTCTCTTTAACACCCATTTTTACTGATTCTCTTTGGGTTACGATGCCTGTAGTATGGCATCGTCTCTTTGCAGTCAGCACCTCAACCTTCACTACCTCCTGTCCTCGGGTTCCTGCCCTGCACCCACATTTTAGGCAGCTCCCTGGCATCCTGCTGGGACCATGCTACTCCTCTCCCTGTCTGCATGCCGTGCTGGCTGCCTTGCCCAGCTTCTGCCTTCTGGCTGAAAAGCAGCAGGCTTCTCAGGAGGGAAGGAGCCTTTGGCCGCCGGGCAGATGTTTGTGCAGATGTGCTGTGTGTGTTCCTTGGCTCTGTGCTGAAGGTGTGGTGCTGGGCAGGGCGATGTGGGTGCAATGGGTTGCAGCGCTCACATGCATGGATGAAAGCCCATTTCTCAGCTGGAACTGCGGGGCACTGGGAGACATCATTGTTTCGCTGGGATTACATCTTCCGATCCAGCCACGTTCTGTGAATATTGTAAAAATAGAAACCAAATCCCAGCGAGGCGCTTAATCCCTTTCTGTTCCGCTCTCTCCCTGTTCCTGCAGCCTCTCTGCAGCTCCCACCCGGCCGTGGGGCTCCATGGGGCACGCTGTGGGCAATGGTGGAAATGCATTTCAGGCATTTTGGGGCTCTACGTATATGGCAAACACATATTCATAAAGCTTTCCTTAAACCCAAATAGAGACTAATGGGAAACTGTAATAAAAATAATGATTGGGAAGGGGTGTAACGTTCTGTTCCTTCCTATTCACAGCACTGCGAGGAGGGATAAAGAGTGAGGAGTAAAGCGGGAGGGAGCCCTCGCTGTGGTCTGGGGGTGCTGTGTGAGCCCACGCTTTGGGGCTTGCGGCCTTCCTCCCACCCTGACCCCTGTCCCTCTGCTCTCCCCCAGTCCCGCCAGACACCCGAGGGTGAGTTCCTGCCGCTGGACCAGCTGGAGCTGGACGTGGGCTTCAGCACGGGTGCCGACCAGCTCTTCCTCGTCTCGCCGCTCACCATCTGCCACGTCATCGATGCCAAGAGCCCCTTCTACGACCTGTCCCAGCGCAGCATGCAGACGGAGCAGTTCGAGATCGTCGTCATCCTGGAGGGCATCGTGGAAACCACAGGTGAGTGGTGGAGCAGATGCTCCACCGTGCAGATGGCACCCTGCAGGGCTTGCTGCTGCTCAGGCTGCCTGCTGAAGGCCGTGCATGATTCAAATGTGAATATTTCCAGACGGCCAAAGTCTTATTTTCATTGAAAGTGAAAATAATTCAGTGATTTTTCTTTTTTTTTTTTTTTGGAAAATGTATTTATTACATTCAAAGTGAAAATACTCGACTGATTTTTTTGGGGAATGTATTTGTTACCAAAGCAATGCTCTGTGTGAGGTGGCAAAATCCCTGTTTCCTTTCTCAGTGTCACTGGCTTGTGCTCGGGTAGGATTTCCTGGAGGACAAAACACGACACCATTAGATCCTGCAGCATTGCCCGTGGTGTGGTTGAGTACCCTCTGACATCACCCCATGGTACAGTTGGGTGTCCTGCAGCATTGCTCAGTGGTACGGTTGGGTGTCCTGTGGCATCACCCCATGGTACAGTTGGGTGTTTTCTGGCATCACCCATTGGTACAGCTGAGTGTCCTGCAGCATTGCTTGGTGGTATGGCTGGGTGTCCTACAGCACCACCTGGGCACTGGACCTGTGGTCAGGCTGGGCCTTGGAGCTGCTGCCATGCCCTGCTTTACTTTCTGCTCTCTGGCTTCATCACAAAGATGCTTAGTGGGGATATTCTGAACGTCTTTACCATTTTTCCAGCATTTCTGTGCTGCACAGCTTTGCTCACAAGGGTGGCAATCCCACAGAAAGTCGGGCTGCAGTATTTCAGCAACATCAGCCTTCAGCACCAACGAGGCCATAGCAGCAGCTAAGAATCCTTGCTGCTTTTCAAGAAAAGTGCTGTGCATTGCTCAGCTGCCTGGTGTTGGGGCTGCCAGGCTGATGCTGCCCAGGGGGCTCCAGGGCTGTTCAGCAGGGTGGTTTCAAAATACTACTGCCCAGAGAAAAGGGATTTTGTAAATAGCCCATCAGAATTTGGAACAGGAAGTCGTGTGTTGCTATACTCCACAGATGTTTTATTTTTCAATGTAGACATACACAGAACAAGAAAAACAGGAGGTATTTTCTGGATTTATAAAGCCGAACTCGTGTAAGCTTGCAAATGTTGTGACCTAGTTTTGTGAGATGAGATGAATATTGGGTAAAATTGAGCACAGTGAGTTCTATCTCGATGAAACGTGGAGGGATGAAAGGGTTTTAAAGAATCTTTAATATTGTGAGTAGAGGAGGAAGGCCCTGTGGGGCGGTCTGGTGATATCAGGCACACAGCAGAGGGTTGAAATGCCTTCTGCTGGTGTGGAAAGAGCGGTGGAACGGAGGGGCCAGAAATAACTCGCAGTTGTTCAGAAGCTGGGCTCCTATTTTTGGTTCTGTGTACAAATGTTGACTGCTTTTCAGTTTGCCTGGGAGAATGAGAAATGTGAAAAGTTGCTTCTTTTTGCCGTTAATTCAGATTGCGAATTCAGATTCAGATTCAGAGTGCAATCCACTGCAGTGCCCACTGCGTGGTGTTTGGTTGGAACACTTTCCTTGCTCTGCTGGAATTATGGTTGGCTTTAATGGTGAGGAGACCTTATAGGTGGTCTGCTGTGCCCCCTTCCAGTGGTGGTTTCCTTCCCCATCCCACGATCAGGAGGTGCTGAGCTGAATGCAGAGCTGCCCTCTTGGCAGCCCTGAGTGCTCCCTTGGAGGCAGTCACTCCCTGCCCTTCTATCACCTCCTGCAGGGAAACCATCACCCTTATTCCACATCATTCATTTTTAAACAATATGAAATTGGATTTTAAAACCCAAAAGACTGCATTGGCGCTGTGAGAATGGGTGAGTTTGAGTCACTTTGCAGTGTTGGTGGCTGGTTGGGTGTCCGGTGGCTGATGGCAGCACCCATTGCTGTGCGTTGTAGGGCTGCATATTTATAGAAGAGGCTTTGGTATTCATCACCTCTTCAGCTTCTAGAGTTTAAGGGGAGATCCAGTGCCTTCTTCCCATGCTCCTGCTTTGTTTTCCAAGTAAATTATTTTCTGTGTGTGTGCCCATAAAGTGCTGCAGAGCTGTGCTCAGATCCACAGCATCCCTTGTGGTTCACAGGGCGCTGCGTTTTCAGAGATCTGCTGGTGCCAAAGCCAAGAGAGGGGCAGCCAGCAGATCAGAGAGAAGAACAAAAGTATGTTTCCTGCGATGCTTTTAGTGCTGCTCCTGTTTGCATTGCCATTGCAGGAGCTGCCTTTGGTCTGAAGCAGAGTGAGGCAAAGTGAGCGTGATGAAGGAGAATCATAGACTTATCATAAAACAGTTGGGATGGAAGGGACCTCAAGGATGATGAAGTTCCAACCCCCGACACTTGCAGGGCCACCAACCTCCCCATTTCACAGCAGCCCAGGCTGCCCAGGGCGCCATCCAACCTGGCCTTGAACACCTCCAGGGATGGACGGGGCATCACAGCCTCTCTGGCAGCTGTTCCAGCACCTCACCACTCTCATAGCAAAGAACTTCCCCCTGACATCCAACCTCAATCTGCCCTCCCTCAACTTTCAAACCATTTCCCCTTGTCCTGCTGTTATCTCCCCTTTCAAAGAGCAGAGCCAACTCAGGGTTTGGGGCTTGGCTCCATGGCACCATCAGGGCTCCCCGCCTGCTTTGAGACTCTCCAGCATTTGACTCTCCTACAAATCACAGTTTTGAATTACAAGGTTTTGTTGATGTTTGTCTTTGGCTTTGTTTTCTGCTTCAAGCTTCTGATGAGCAGCGTTACCCAGGGGTTGGGGAAGTGGTAAATATGTACAATAAATGTTGTGCTGAGTGTCAGCAGGGACAGAACAGTCTCTGGGAGAAGTGAGCTACGTTCCCTAAGCGGGCGGTTCTTGCTCACGAGCCCCACTTGGCTGATTAAAATCACCATTTCCGATGCCTTCTCTCATTAAATCATGTAAAAGTGATTTCTCATAGATGCCTCCCAACTTGATTAAATTATTTCGCTGCCTCGTCGCTGACATTTTAATTTCTGGGAATATAAACATTGCTTTACGCTTTCCATACCCTCCTTAATTACAGCTTCGGGTTGTTTAGATACCAACACGTGGTGCATTTTTGGGCCTTTCTGAGTGTTGCTGTGGTGGAGGAGGAGGGGGGATGTGGGGCCGGGCTCCTGCTGTGCCCACCCCATGGCTGAGCCCCGGGGGCTGCATGGGAACACCCGGGGATGCTCGGGATGTTCTCCAGGCTCTGTTTATTTCGGGTTTTTGGAGCGTTGGCTACGATGGAGGAGCCTCACAGCTGAAGTGCTCAAATGGCTTTTCAGCATTCAAAGACGGTTATGATTCACGAGGGTAATTGCTAATCATTTTGGATTATTTTTGATATATCACCAACCCCTCCATTATTATGATAGCATGTAATTTGGGAGAGCGCTCGGAGCGTTTATTTTCACAGCCCATTGTCCCGGTTTCACGCTGTTGTGATGGAGCATCCCAGCCCCACTGCCAGCACTGGGACTGCCCAACTTGCAGGTGGAGCTGGAGAGGCTGGGAACCCCCCCAGCCCTCTGTCTGCCTTTGGGAGCACAGAGGCCTCCAAACCGCTGCCATTGCTGGATGAGGAGCTGGTAGTATGAGCCTGAAATAGGCATGAAACCAGCAGGGATGTGCATCGCTGTGTCCTCAGAACTCATGAAATGTTATTTTGAAAACCTCTTAACACCGTTTTTCCGATGAAAGAAATCAAACAGCCTGCCAGGTTCTTTAATTGAACGAGCAGAAAGTGGGAATCAAAGGCACATTCCACTGACTTTAACTTTTAGAAGCACGGATAGCGTGAATGGCGGAGATGCGGTCTCCGTGGAAAGGTTTATCTCAGGAGCAGCCACTTGTGAATGATTGCAGAACTGAAGCGACTCAAGGGAACCAAGAGCTGCAATACGAAGCTTTGTGTTTGGGTAATAGGTTTGGGTAATTTCTAGAGCTACTTAAAACACTGTTCCCATGTGTGGTTCTCAAGGTCGCAGAGATGTAAGGAAACCACCGCCTGCATTGAGCGAAGTTGGAGGTGGAGTGAAAAATGTATTTGTTCTCTGTTTTCCTTTTATCGTGCCATTTATATCTTGTGCTGGCTTGGGAGGGGATGGGATGCAAGGGGGAAACATACTGTGGGCAGAAGGCAGGAGGGATAAAACTGCTCAGGTGCTCTGGACAATCCCAACCCAGTGCTGGGGTACAGCAGGCACTCGAATGTCGTGATATGATTCTGTGGTTGGGGCAGTTCAGCACATCTTTTTCCAGTGCTGGCATCACGTAGAAGCTGCTCAGGGAAAGCACAGCAGGTGCTGTGTGCCTCCTGCTCACAGCACAACCCCCAAAGCTCCCAGCTTCACTGCCTGAAGCCTCCACGGCTCTTCCCTTTTCTTCCTTAGACGTCTTCTGAGATACAGAAGAGACAAATGGTAGTCGTTCTAATCTGGAGTTCTGCAGATGCTTTGCTTTCATCGTATATAATCTAAACAAGTGGTGATTCATCAAAAGTCATGTCTTTGTAAGGGTACTTGTTTGCACTGCATCAAACTGAAATGAACAAAGTGTGAGTGTTTTACAGCCCCTGCAAGGCTGTTGCTGACGTATGGGCGCTAGGATGATCTCCAGCCATCAGTGGCATTGCATGAAACGCTTGGAGATGTGCTCAGTGAATGCATCTCGTTGTCTGTTGTAGGTGGAGAAATTGGTGGGAAAATACGTGGCTGAAATCTGGAATTTGTTTTGTTCTAGGGGCAAAAATCAGTCGAGTAGGACAAGTAATGCGAGGTGCATTTCTCCCTTCCTAAGTGCAGTCTGAGCTCGCCCCAGCTGGGCTCCTGGGTGCCGTTTGTGGTGCGCTCACAGCGAGGAAGGGAAGGAGGAATGGTCCTTGGGGACAAGGGAGGATGGCAAGCAGGTGAAATGAAATTAAAAATATTAATTGTCATTAGGGCAAAGAATTGTCTGCTGAGTCTGATTCTTGCTGCTCTGTGTTGTATGAATTGCT